TAACAATACAATGTACTAACCATTGTTACTCTCCTAAAATCTTGTTTTGAGATTTTTGTACCACTGTTTTTATTTTTTTCTTTCTTTAAAATAAAAATAACTGATGTCAATTAAAAAATAAAAAATTGTTACATTTAAATTAGATAATGAATATCCTTTTCAGTACTTCAGATGGAATCAAAGACCTTGCACTGACTGAGCAACATCTCCAGTCTTTTTCCTGCTTTTTATTTTGAGAAAGGGTCTCACCGAGATTAGGTCTTGCTTAGATTAGGATAAAACCAGCCTCCTGCCTCAGACTCCCAGGGTGCTGGGATTTAAGGTATGAGCCACCATACTTAGTCCGTGCATAAACTTTTTTATTTTTGATTTAGACAGAGTCTCACTAAATTGTTGAGGCTGCCCTTGAAGATTATGATCCTCCTGCCTCAGCCTCCCCAAGAAGCTAGGGGCACAGGGATATGCCACCTCACCCATCTACAGCTTCCTATCCTTGGGTGAAAGGAGGCATGAGGAGGGGGAGGGATTCTTTTCAAGTCTGTGATCAGCTCATGAGGAATGTCCAACAACTTGCCCACAGGCTTAAAGCTGGTGTGGTAGCTGACTTGGGAGCGGTCTCTCAGTCTGACAATGACAAACACATAACCTGCCTTAGAAGAACTCCACAAGATGATGCAACTCTGACGCAAGTCTCCCTCACATACATCTGTCCTGTGGTGGTGGGCCATGTGACATCCCTCCCAGCCTCCAATGTTCATTACTTGGGTAAAGCTGGCATCTATCGAGGGCTGATGTGGGCAGGATGAAGACATGGGCCAGGGACCTTAGGTACTTGGCCAAATGTCAACAGTCACAGATACCCTGGGGACACAGCTGCAGGGAGGTCTGCCCAACTCTGGAAAGCTCTACCAGGCTTGAATGACAGGGTACAGGACACAGGAATTGCCCAGCCCTATATTCTTCCTCCCCAACCCCACAAGAGTGGGGCACAGCTGATGTTACTACTGTCATCTTGTATTTCTTTCTGATTCTGTCTGTAACCAGAAGCTGTAAACAGGAAGGATCCCACATTCAAAACCAAATGTCACCATTAACTCATCCCTACTGACCTCCTCCCCCCAGGACTCTCATTTCTGGTCCATTGTAAATTCACCAGTTTCTAGGAATGTGTGTCAAAAGGTGGGCCCAGGGAGAAGAGGACCCACAGGCTGGTGAGTTCTCAGAACTATGAGTCACACATACACACAGCCTGACCCTGCAGGACCTCATCCTGCCCAGATGTGGCACAGGCTCAGGACACCTGAACCAGCTCTGAGTCACAAACAAGTCCAGCACACAGCACTTTCAAAACTTAACACTAAATGTAAGAAAGAGAGTGAACTGGGAAAGATGACCTTCTGCAGGGAGCAAAGACAGGCGGGTTCTACGGTTCCACATGTGAGAGCTGCCCAGAGTTGGGGCAGCCACATCTCAGGGCAGCCTCTTTGGTGCCGGTCTGCTTAAGCTGCTGCAACACCTAACTTGGACTACATCACTGATAAACAAAGGAAATGTATGGATCTCAGTTTTGTTTTGTTTTGTTTTTTTTTTGTACCAGGATTCAAACTCAGGACCTTATGCTTGCCAGACAGGCACTTAGGCTGCTGCGCTATCTCCCCAGCTGTTCTCAATTCTAAGGTCTGTGAAAGTCAAGATCCAGGCCCAGGCTGAGTGGGTACCCAGTGAAGGTTTTCTTCACCATAGATGGCACCTTCAATGGGGTCGCTTTACAGAGGAAAAGGCAAACATGCTTCTCTGGTCTCCACTCTAAAGGAACCAATGAACCCAAAGCCCCGCCTCTTAATACTCTTGCGCTGGGGTTCAATATCAACATATGTAATAGAAGAGTGACAAAGACTAAGTCCACAGACAGCACTCAGAATGCCACGTAAGTGCAAGCTTGAGGACAGGGATCCTCCTGGCCATATTGAGGATCTGGGACTTGGAGGTGTGAATGACCCAAGTGGTCAAGCTCAGGAACAAGCTTGGAGCCAAGACCAGTGGAGCTGATTTTGAGACAGTAGA